AAAAAAAAAAAAAAAAAATTAGCCGGGCATGGTTAGTTCCTGTAGTTCCGGCTAGTTGGAAGGCTGAGGCAGAAGGATCGCTGGAGCCCAGCAGGTTGAAGCTGGGGTGGCCGTGAGTGTGCCACTGCACTCTAGCCTGGGAAACAGAGTGAGACTCCAACTCAAAAAAAGAAAAAAGATTTGATATGAAAAGAAAATTCCCAAAGATGCCAACATATTCATTTAAACATCACTGCAGAGGTAGGTCAGTCACATGCTCATACCAGTTATAGAAACCAATGGTAAGCTGTGGGTGAAAAAAAGCCCTTTGCTAACATCATAAATCAAAACATTTCAGCTTCCTCTTAAAGAGACATATTTTGTAAAGTGAACTTAAAAATTTAAATACATAAGAAAGCAGAGTAATAAACATGTATATGGTAGCAAAGTACTTTTATAAAAAGATATAGTTTATTTAAATAACCATAAAGACTTGGAGAATATTAAATAAAAACATAATCATATATTGATTCCATTTTTTCTTTCTAATGCTAAAACAATAAAATCAGATCATTCTTATTTTAGAAGTAACATATTGCTCAATGTTTACACAATGTTTACTCTAAGCTTCCAAGATAACAATGAAAAACTCTTTGTCAACAAAGTCATGTCCAGATTTGAAGAAATTCTAGAGAACTATACAAGCACTGTATTCCCCAAAAGTAAATGTGAATATGGATTGGATAAAATACAATTTTGGCTTTCTGATATGTTGAATTTCACCTTTTACAACACGATCACACAGTTTTAGGGTTTCAAGAACAGGAACATATCCAAGTTATTTTAGAAGACAGCTATTCATACTTTAAAATTCTAGAGCAAGAAACAATTTCTCTTGCTAATTACCAGGTTTCACATCTTATAGATATTTAGAATTCTTTTTTCTAAATCTGTGTTGCTATTGAAGTACTTTTTTCTGTATTCAGCAAAAATATTTTTTAATCACTAGGATACTGTATTTGTTCACATATTTGAAGATTAAAATGAAATTCCTTCTGCTCTCTTCCTGAAATTATACAAAACCAATTCATATGCTCAATATAATTAAACCTATTTTAAGAAAGCGGATCTTTTTTGTGAAATATGAAATCTGTATAATATTTAATAGTATAATTTAAAATTATTTAAAGTATGACTTTCAATCATACAGGGGTTCTCACCTTGGCTGCTGCTGATGGAAGATCAAATGGAATACGCTGTCTGATTTTAGGGGGCAGTTGGGTTAAAACTTCAGTCTTTAATCTTCTAATCATTATGTCACTTAATAGCTGGTGAAGTTCATTAAGATTTGATGCCCCTCTACAATTCCACTGAGGCCTTTTACCAAAATATCTGTTAATATGAAGGAAAAACATGTAGTAAAGCTGAATGCTGGAGAAAGAAACAACATATCCAGTGTGTTCTTCCTTTTAATGATAAAGAGCCATGACATTTTTTTATTGTTATTTCTGAATGAAAAATTCTTTTCAAAAAGCTGAGCCTGAGAAATAGTAATGAATAAAATTAGACATTGCTCTCCACTAGAGAAAATGTTAATGGCTAAATATACTGTTTACAGAGTTAATGCAAGGCTGGGATGAACTGATGACTCTGAACTGCAGTAGGTCATTGTTTCTACACCCAAGCGCTACTGGCATTTTGGGTGGACTCACACATGATGGTACATTGAGCAGGTATAGTCCTAAATAGGCATGAACTGCCAGTGCACCAGTCACTCAATATAACAGCCAAAAACAACCAGAAGTTTTTCCATACCCTCTAGGAGGAGATGATATCTCCAATTGAACCGTTAGCATAGCAGATTGATTATTTGGTGGTCACTTCCTTTGAAACCACTGGGTTGACAACAAAGGAAAATTTTTTAGAAAGACACAAATCCACAATGAAAGACAGTGATAGAGGAGACATAAGAGGATTAGCAATTTCAAGAAATATTAGAAGGTACAACACAAACAGATAAGTAGTAGCTGACTTGGCAAAATAAAGAGATAACAAAATGTTTACAAAAAGCCAGGCAAGGTGGCTCAATCCTGTAAACCCAGCACTTTTGGAGGCCGAGGTGAAAGGAATGCCTAAACTCAGGGGTTTGAGACCAGCCTGGGTAACTTGGTGAGACCTCTCTCCACAATATATCAAAATATTAGCTGGGCATGGTAGCACATGCCTGTAGTTCTGGCTACTTGGAAGGCTGAGGCAGAAGGATTGCCGGAGTCCAGCAGGTCAACGCTGGGGTGGCTGTGAGTGTGCCACTGCACTCCAACCTGGGCGACAGAGTGAGACTCTGACTCAAAAAAAAAAAAAAATTCTGCATTTGTGCAGTATGCTAACCAATGGTCTTCTGGCATGATTGTTACATGCTGGCACAGACAGCACACAGGTGTCTTCAAATAGGCCAACCCTAAAGACTTCACTTGCCTCTTGTAGAGCAACAGTAGCTATGCTCCAGAAATGCAGAGTTGTCTGGATGTCTGAATAATCTAATTTCCAAGTACCTGGTCTGTAATGAGGTTTCTTCACTGCTCCAGGAGAGGGCGCGCTACTGAGAAAAGCTTTAGCTTGTGGCCTCCTGGATGTTTTACCTCTAGTTGATCTTAGGCCATATGCTTGGTATGAACCATGGTTCCAAAAAATTATTTCTCACTGCCCCGTTTCCCCCTCAACCCCAGCCCTAACCTTCACCACATACTTCCATATGGAGCTCAGAATGCTAGAGATGGCATTTGCTCTAACGTGCCTGCAACAACACATTTGCTGAACTCTCAGCCTCATGTTTGGGGTGCTAAGGGGAAATAGGGAGAAGAAAGGCTAGAAGAGGTGCCACCAGTAAACCCCTGGTTTCTTCCCATTAAATTTATAGTAATTGTATATATCTTTTTGGGATATCTTACTTTTTAAAGCAGCTTTATTGAAATAGAATTCATAATGCTATACAATTCACCTAAAGCGTACATCTCAATGGTTTTTGATATATTCATAGATGTCTGAACCACCACCATAGTAAATTTTAGGAAGTTTTTTTATCACCTTAAGAAGGAACATGCAGCATCCATTAGCTATCACTCCCGAACCTCTGCCATATCGTCCCAGCTCTAAGCAATCACCAGTCTACTTTCTATCTCTGTAGTTTTCTCTATTCTGGACTCTCATGAGTAAAGTCATGAAGTATGTGGTCATTAGTGACTGGTTTCTTTCACTTAGCATGATATTTTCAAGATTCATCCATGTTGCATCAAGTAACAGTATTTCATTCCTTTTTAAGGCTGAATAATATCCAACTGTATGGATATATCACAATTTGTCTATCCATTTGTCTATTGATGGATATTTGGGTTGTTTCCAATTTTTGTCTTTTATGAATTAAGCTGCTATAAATATTCACACACAAGTTTCTGTATAGTCATATATTTTCATTTTTTTTGAGTATATTCCTAGGAGTGGACTGGCTGGGTCACATGGTAATATATGTTTAATCATTTGAAAAACTGCCAGAATATTTTCCAAAGCACCTGGATTATTTTACATTCCCATTAGCAGCGTATGAGGGTTCCAATTTACCCATATGCTTGAACAACACTCACTGTTATCTGATTTTTTGGTTCTAGTCATCCTACTGGGTATAAAGTGATATGTCATTGTAGTTTTGATTTGCATTCCTGATAATTGATGATATCAAGCATTTTTTAATGTGTTTGCTGTCTATTTGTATGTCTTTGTTGGAGAAATGTCTATTCAAATTCTTTGCCTATTTTAAATTCAGTTGCTTGTCTTTTTATTATTGCATCAAAAGAGTTCTTTGTATATTCTGGCTAAGTCCCTTATCAAATACATGATTTGGAAATATTTTCTTCCATTCTCTAGGTTGTCTTTTTGACTTCTTTTTTTTTTTTGAGTTGGAGTCTCACTCTGTCGCCCAGACTGGAGTGCAGTGGCCGCTCCCGGCCACCACGCCTCGACCTGCTGGGCTCTGGTGATCCTCCCGCCTCAGCCTTCCGAGTAGCCGGAATTACAGGCATGTGCTACCACGCCTGGCTGATTTTTTCATTTATTGTAGAGATGAGGTCTCGCTGCCCAGGCGGGTCTCAAACCCGTGGGCTCAGGCAATCCACTCACCTCAACCTCCCAAAGACGCGGGATTACAGGCTGAGCCACCGAGCCCGGCTGTCTTTTTAACTTCTTATGGTGTCCTCTGAAGTAAAAAAAGTTAACAATTTAGATGAAGTACAATTTGTCTAGTTCTTTTGTTGCTATTATGCTCTATGTGAAATCTAAGAATGCCCTGCCAAATCCAAGGAATAAAAACTTATTCCATTTGAATCTATTTGATTTTTGAGTTGATTTTTGTATGTGGTATAAGGTTAGGGTTCAACTTCATTCTATTCCATGTGGCTATCTAGTTGTCCCAGAACCACTTGAATAGTCTTGGCTGTCTTATTAAAAATTAATTAGCTGTAGATGTATGAGTTTATTTCTGCACTATCAGTTATAATTCATTGATCTTGAAATCTATCCTTGTGTCAGTACCATACTATTATTTTTCCTTTTCTTTTTCTGCCAAGTAACTTCTCACCTGAAATATCTCACCTGAGTAACCATTATCATTGTGAACAAACCCTCTAACCCTAATTTTCTTTTTAAAGATTGTTTAGGCTATTCTGGGTCCCTTGCAATTCCATACAAATTTTAGAATCACGTGGTCAATCTGTCAAAGAAGTTAGCTGAAATTCTGAAAGGGATTATGTTACATCTGTAGATAAGCTTAAGGACTATTACCATCTCAACAGTGTTCAATCTTTCTGATCCCTGAACATCAGATGCTTGCTGATTATTTTAGATGCTCTTTCAAAAATGTTTTGAAATTTTCAAAGTATAAGTTTTTAGAGAGGGGGTTGAGCTATGTTGTCGAGGTTGGATTTGAGCTCCTGGACTCAAGCAATCTTCTTGCTTCAGCTTCCGGAGTAGCTGTGATTACATGTGTGGGCCACTATGCCTGGCATTAACCTTTTTAAATACAATGAATTGGTGCAACATCACTGGAATTTATGAGCCCTAACACATGCTGAGATTAAAAACAGTAAAAAATGGTTTTACAAAACAGTTTTTGAAAGAAATAGATATTTAATTAATAAACTCATATTCAATAAAGACATCACAAACATAGGCAAATTATCAAAAAAGATATATAATAAACCAGTGATTGGATAACAGTCACTTGCAAAAACTGTGTATATCATTATATGTAGATTACCTTATAAATTTTTAAAATATAAAAATATTAAATATGCATATTTTACAGTGTATTTTATAAGAAAAATATGAGCAATGATGATTCTCATAAAATTTCATGAAATTAGAGAAATTAACTGTCAGTACCTCTTCCTAAGATCTCACACTCTCTCAATCTTCAGGCCTGGAGTCATAACCATGATTATGAATATATGCTCATATATTATTTCTCTGTTTCTACTAACTCTTTTGTTTGTTTAAATTGTCATTATTTCAGATACAAGGTTATGATGTTATTTAATTTGTTGTGTATCATAACATTAAAAGCAGATGCTTCAGTATGTTATTTGGTGTTGGTAAGAATGACGCATACTATGAAAAAAAGCAAACCAATTTTTCCTTAATAAGATTAAGACCTGCTTGTATGTCTTCTTTTGAGAACTGTCTATTCATATCTTTTGCCCACTTTCTAATGGGGCTGTTTGTTTTTTTCTTTTCAGTACGTCTGAGTTCCTTGTAGATCCTAGATATTAGGCCTTTGTCAGACAGACAGTTGGCAAATATTTTTTCCCAGTCTATGGGTGGTTTCCCTGCTCTCTTGATGGCTTCTTTGGCTTTACAGAAGCTTGTCAGTTTGATGAGGTCCCCCTTGCCTATCTTATCTTTTATGGCATGGGCACTTGGGGTTTTGATCGGGATTTGGTTGCCAGTTACAATTTCCATAAGAGTGTCTCCTGCATTTTCTAAGGTTCTTATAGTTTGAGGTTTTATGTTTAGGTCTTTGATTCATTTAGAGTTGATTTTTGTGTATGGTGATAGGTAGGGATCTTGTTTTAATCTTCTGTATGTGGTCAGCCAATTTTCCCAGCACCATTTACTGAATAGATAATAGGTTCTCCTCTCCCCAGTTGGTGGTGGTGGGGGCTTTGTCGAAGATTAGTTGGTTGAGATATTGAAGTTTTGCTTCTGGAATGTCTATCCTGTTCCTTTGGCCTATATGCCTGTTCTTGTACCAATACCAAGCTGTTTTGATTATTGTAGCTTTATTATCAAATACATAGAAAAATGCTCAGCCTCACTAGTCATCAAAGAAATGCAAATTAAAACTACACTGAGATACCACCTAACTCCA